GTGTGTGTGCGTGCGCGCGCACACACACACACACACACGGAAAAGTAAACTTAATCAAGTAAGTGTTTGCCTTTTCCCTGTGGAGACACTGAGTGTTTGGGAATACAAAAGACTTTTGAATAGGCAGGCTCCCTGTGTTTGAATGGCATGATGTTTTGCTAATGCAAATTTAATGAGTTGGGGAAAAAATTGAGAAGAGAGCCTGGGGTTAAAGCTGAAGAGTCAAAAACGTTAGGTTTGCTGTGAACATGCACTGTATGGTTTGTTTTGGGTTATGGCCATGGCTCCTGCTGGGTAAACTATTTGCTTCCGGGAAAGTTAAAAACCTTGACATTCTGTTAGCGAAAGAACACTATTTGGGAAACAGAGTCACTTGCCTTGTTTTTAACTGGGTATTATGGTCAAAGTGATTCAGATATACTACTGTCTCTAGGACAATACCATCCTTAGTGGAGCTCCAGTGAAGTCAGTGTAGTTGTAGCAAAGAGGAATTAGCCCCACATATTCAATCTGAACCATTATGCACAAATGAAATGACCCTTGTGCATTACAACTAAATCCTGCCCTGTACAGGAGAGCTAGGGACAGACATTACACATAAACTGGGATAAGTGATCAGACCTGTAACAGAACAGACATTCAGTGCACATAAACCAGTTTGAAAATGCCTGAAACTGGTTTGAAATAAACCTGGTTGTATGTAGTATCAGACTTAACTTATTTGGGTCAAATTGGTTTATGCAATGTCTTCCTAGACCCCTTGCTGGTTTAAGATAAACCAGACACCCGCAGCATCCTGGCATGCTGTCTGGGCTGGGTGGGGCTCTCTGCTCCACAGCAGGGCTGGCCCCTCCCCTCCACTCCCTGGCTCCAGCTCCGGCAGAGACTTGCAGGCACAGAGCATCTGCCTGGCTTCTTCCTGCTAAACAGAAATTATTCCCCCCTCCCCTCTGCCTTATGCAGCCACCTCAGCATAAGCTAGCAGACCACATGCTGGCTACAGTCTGTGCTGTGGGAGAAGACTAAGCCAGACAGGGTTTTTGGAGCTAATCAACAGGTAGCGTAATGTCCTTCCTTGGACAACCTGTTTAAGAAGAGCTGTTTAAGAAGAGCTCCATTAGTTAGGGGTTATAAACATTCCCTGCTGGGCTGCTTAGGAGCAGGGGAGAGAATAATCAGAGCATCCTGTCTGGATGCCCCCCCCCCTCAGGTCAGCCCTGTGGAAGGGAGGGAGGGCTGCTCTAGTGCCTCCCAGCTTCTAGCCTGAGCCACTGCAGGCATGTGCCTGCATTTCTGGAATGAAAAGGGAATGTCTATCAACCTCCAAATTGGTTCAGGTTTTGCAGGTTACACTAACCTGCAAAGATTGAATCAATTCCGGCTCAGGCTTTTCTGAATGTCTGTCCCTAGCCAAGGAGATGGAAAATGGATGGAAGATGACTCTTCTTTGTGGATTCCCAAAGCATACAACAGCATAATAACTAATAAGCTCTCCAGTGAGCTCTAGGACTGGTCTTAACTACTTTCCTGCTGGGCATTTAGGATTCAATGTTTAGGAACAACAGTGTATGGCCACTGTTATTTGTAATCCCAACTTTTTAGTCCCCCTTGGGCTATTCTATCCTGCTATTCTCCTCTTATCTTAGCCAAGTCCCAGTGCATCCCTATGCTTTACCCACTGCAAATGCAGAAGCTATAAATAGAATTTACCTTATATTCTTAGATAATTGATTAGATAAAAATAAATTTAATGTTTTATCTTGGTTTCTTCCTTGTTAACATATAAAAACAAGTATCTTGACACCTTATAAAATAATAGTTGCTTTGTGATTCCAGAAGGTAACCAAAGTCAGTGTTTTTTATAGGGATGTGAAGTAGGGTGAGGAAGATGAATCTGCCATCGCTTTTATAAAGGGCAGCAGGAACTGGGGGTTGTGGAGGAGACTGTGAGAGTCCAACATTTCCTTTTATTAATAAGCTCAAAGTGTGCTCATTGACTGGAAAACAAACTTGGCACATTGAAGCTATAGCACTAAATAAAAATTAAGGAAATGATTGTTCAGGTGCTTGTCTGTATATAGGTCAGCGTTGGTGCCCAGTGCACTCACATTTCGATTTTTTTTCAGTAGTCAGTGTCTGTTGGGACCTGCATCTGTGCCTTGATTATTCTTGTGCTCCCAGCCAACGGCAATAAAGGGCAAAATCATAGAGCTGCCCCCCGAGATCCTCTTCAGTGCTCATGGCTATGAGCTGATGCTTGAGATTTTCTGCACATTGCATGGCTTCTTCATTGTTTTAACTATTTTGAAGTCCAAGCTTATTACTCAGTCCTTTGATAGATTTCCCCCCTCCCTTCTTTTCTTCAATAAGCCTGCAACTAACATGTTGTACTTACCTACCAGGATGTAATTATTACCAAACATAATTATTTGGATTTGGATTCTGTACCAAAAAGTGCAAACATAATAACAGGATTTTGTCTCTGACTGCCAAAAGTCAACTTGTGCCATATATCTGTTCCCCACAAGGAGCCTGTAATGCTGCAAATACAGATTTCGGATCTCTACCTACTTCGGTTGCTAGGAGGAGGTCCTCTTAGCTTCAACCATTTGATCCTTAAAGAACTACAAATTAAAATTGAGGACCATCCGTTTGAAAGATAAAAACTTTTCAATATGAAAATGAAGCTTTATACTCTCTGAAGTACTCACACCCACAAGGAGATCTGTAAACGTTTTAACCCTTCACCAACAAAGCACTCCAAGCCTAATTGTTATATGTGTTGTAAGTATGTTTCCTTCACAAAGAGTGCAAACTTACCTACATATAGGCAGCTGACTAATTGTTGTAAAGTCATCTCAACTCAGAACCAAGTCCTAGGCAAGCTGTTTGAGAAAATAATTCTGGCACACATCCAGGAGGGGCCAGCAGGGGACTGCATACTTAGGGGCAATCAGCATGGGTTCATCAGTGGCAGGTCCTGTCAGACCAACCTGGTGGCTTTTTACGATCAGATCACCAGATCATTAGATGCAGGGGTAGCAGTGGACATAGTCTTCCTGGACTTCCGGAAGGCTTTTGACACTGTCTCTCACCCCGTTCTCATTAAGAAAATGGGAGGCTGTGGTGTAGACACCCACACAGTCAAATGGGTCGCCAACTGGCTGGAGGGCCGCACCCAGAGGGTGGTAGTGGATGGGTCCTTCTCAACCTGGAAGGACGTGGGCAGTGGGGTTC